TATCAACAAGTTTAAATTTTAAACTCCAATTTCACATAACATATAAATAATATGGAAGCAGGGAGGTTTATCTGAGCTGCATATGTATGCAGGCTGCGATAGATTTTATTCTGCTTGGTTTTATGAGGTTTTCTTATGTTACGGGGATTTTTGTCATAATAATTTTATGCCGAATAGTTTTTAAAGCTGAATAATATAATAATGGGTGATCGTAATGTGGAGAAGCTAGTGCGGAAATATATTGATAAACGAGATGATAAACTTGTTGATATTGTGGAACGATGTTTGCGGAAAGGTTATGATTATGAGAAAATGAGGGACCGTGTCGGCGATCATCTTCGTGATTCAACCACACGGAAACGTTTAATCGATGCGCTTTCCGATGCATTTCCACAATTTGCCCGAAAACGGAAACATCGGGTATGTATTATTATTCTTTTATTTCTTTGAAAATATTCTATAAATTGAGATAAATTTAGATTATAAGAGATATCTTTGTTTCTTGTTATTCAACGTTTTAGTTTTGGGATCTTAACAATTTTTAATTCGTTTCTGATTCGTTGCTCAAGATGTGAGTTTGAATTTTAAGATTTAATGTACTTCTACAGCAACTTGAAAAGTTTGGATTACTGATCACTAATTGATTAGTGGTGTGCTTAATGATACACACAGAAGTTCACACAATTTTTTGAGGTTGTTTAATGGGTGTTTGGTTGTTCTTCATGAAGTTTCAGCAGAGTTTAGTCTTTCACACCATGCTACTTGCGCACGTAATACACACGCACACATAATTATCCCCAGTCTCTTCATTTTTTAATGATTAAAAATTACAATTTTCTTAATTAGTCGGAAGAGTTTTTGATTATAATTTTTTTATACTACAGTGCGATTTTAATTACTTGAAATCAAAAGGATTTTCACTGCTAAATTTCAAGATGACGAAATTTCGTAAATTTCAGTTTGAAGAGACGAAGGATGCTAAAGAAGGGATAATGAAAAAGCCTAAACTTGAAGAACGATCGGACTCTAATTCAGCACGAGCTGCACCAGTCGTTACTAAGCCGATATTGTCAAACGCTTCTGTTATCAAAACAGAACCAAAGAATTCAGATGAAATTACAGAAGAAGTCAGTTTTTACATCAATAAATTGATCTAAAAAGTTGAAAAGCAATACGACATTTGCTGCCAATTAATATTTTTTTCACGAAAATATATATTTTTTTTTTTTAAATTCTCTTTTTGGTCGGTTTATGATTGGTTTTGATTTACAATGATATGAAAATGATATGATTTACAATGATATGATATGAAAAGAGAGACAGAAACCAAAACGTAGTGATCAGTATTCTGTGAAAGCAGAATTTTATCACATTCTTGTACTTTACGAAATGAATTGCAGCATCGTAAGATGAACTAAGTTTACATACACTAACTTCAGGAGCTTAAAAGTAAAGAACTGATGTATCAAGCTCAAATGGCAATTGAAGAGCGGAAGCGACAACTGAATCTCACAGCAAGGCCTGGCATCGTAGCTCAAGCTGTAATTTCAAAAGCATCAAAACTGAATACGAAGGAAGCTAGCATGTTTATGAACTATTCGATGGAGAAAATTAATAGGTTTAATATTTTTTTTCACTCATTTTTTTCTTCATAAAAATCTGGAATTGTATAATTATCCAAATTTCGCGTAATTCTTTTCTACAGGGTCAAAGAACTGAAAGAAAAATTAGCACAGCGAACAGCAACAGTTGCGCAGCTTATTAGAAAGGATGCAGGCAATGGAACAGTTTCAAAAGCAAAATCAGTTGATGAACCGGAACAGAGGATTGTTGAGTATCTAGACCCTCGTATTAGGTCAGTATTTATTTCGAAAATGGATTATAAATTGTAACCCATAGTTTTAGAAGTAAACTAAACTTTTCCAATATCTTAATTAATTGGACATAATTTCTGGTTAAATTCATTTCTGAGATGTTGATGAAGGTGACATTAATTTTGATTTTAGTTTAAAATCCGCTCAGCGGAAGCAGCGTGCAATTGTTTTCCATGATAAAGGCGAATTTGAGAAATTGGCCCAACGTGAGCGAGCCAAAGCTCGTCTAGCAATTTTGCAAGCAGAAATCACACAGATAGCGAAGAAAACAGGAATGTCCTCATCAGTAAAACTGGCTATGCTAACTCCATCATCATCTGCAGTATGTTAATTATTTTCTTTGATGAACAGGTTTCCTTAACGATAAGAATGAGGGAAAATGATTCGTCATCCTTTAGTGCGACCACTAAAAAAGGCACATTTATTACGAACAAGTAAAATAATCGTATATACCTTTCGATGACCAAAAAACCAAGGCAATATTTTTGACTAATTAAATTTTCAGGTGAGTGATGTTCCACTCGTAGAGTGGTGGGACGAAGTTGTATTAGGTGGTAGTTATGATATGATACCTGATGAGAACATTGATTCTGACAATAAGTATGTGAAAACGATCACAAATTTGGTGGAGCATCCTATTCAACTTAAACCCCCTGATGAGCCTCTTCAACCGCAGTATCTAAAGGCAAGCATTTACTGCTTTTTGTGTATGAAATATTTTCCTTATGAATTCTTTTAAAGCTTTTACTAGTATTTAAAAATTCTTGTTTATTTTATTGAAGGTTTATTTAACAAGTCGAGAACGAAAAAAGATCAGGCGGCAAAACAGAAAGGAAGCACAAAAGGAACAGACGGAAAAAATAAGGTTTCTTCATTAAGGATATTTTTCTAAAAACTGCTTATTTTCCTTGTTTAAATTTTCATAATGATTTCTGTCCCAAAGATTCTTTATAGCGACTTCCTTCAGATTGGGTTTAATCAAAGCTCCAGAGCCGAAAGTTAAATTATCAAATTTGATGAGGGTACTGGGTTCGGATGCTGTCCAGGATCCGACTAAAGTTGAAGCTCATGTACGTAAACAAATGGCTGAAAGGCAGCGAAAGCATGAAGTAACAAATCAACAAAGAAAACTTACCAAAGAGCAACGATCGGAAAAAAAAATTCGAAAAATTAAGGAAGACACATCTTTGGCTGTTCATATGACAGTTTATAAGTTAGTTCTTTAGTTGATATTCTATTTAATTATAATTTTTTAGATGCGACTGCGGAAAAAAATAAGGCTGTTCTTTCTCACTAAAAAACACTTTCGATGTGGTTTGGCCATTTATTAAAATCTTGTTGTAGACAAAGAATCGGAAATAAATAGTTCCTTTTTTTAGGGTCAAATCTTTGGCTCATCCAGCAAAGAAGTTCAAAGTTGAAATGAATGCTAAGCAGTTGCATATGACTGGTTTGATTCTGCTACACAATAATATCAATCTTGTAATTGTTGAAGGCGGTACGTTTAGAATTTATTACATTTTATATAGGTTGTCCTAATTTAATATTTGATCATACTTAATTCTGCTAAGCATTTAGAGGAATACCTGTTTTTGTTTATTTTAGGACCAAAACAACAGAAAGCATTCAAAAACTTGATGTTGAGTCGGATCAAATGGGGAGATGAAATTATTGGTCAAAAAAAAGAAGCTGAAAATAAAGATACTCCTGGTGAAAGAAATGATTGTTCCCTGGTTGGTGATCTTTTCCCTAGAATGAAAATTAGATAAATTAGGAATGTGAGATAAAAATTTAATAAATCAAAGAAATTGTTAAAAATATTGAGTCAGTGTGTAAGATAGCAAAAAATACTCTTCCAATTCTTATATATATTACAGAGATCGTGAATCAGTTTTCCTGTCAACCAACGGTCTTTTATTTTTCTTGAAATGTTCTATTTCAAATAACCAATAGAATAACTTGTTAAAGGGATTATATTAAGATGTTTTTAAACAGCATGATAAAGTTAATTTATTTTTTTAAGTTATGGAATTTTAGATTTGGGAAGGTATTCAGAAACGACGAAATTTTGGTGAAGTGAAGTGTATGGTTGCTACATTAGAAAAACAAGCACGAGAAATCTTAGAAAAGCATGGAGCGGCACATTTTTGGGATCTCGCATACAGTACTTCACTTTTGGCTGATGAAACTAATGCTTAAGTCGTAAAATTTATGGAAATCGCTAACGTCTGAAAAATAAAGTGGTCTGAACTTCAGGCGTATTTTTGAAAGAATAGGCCATTGCTTGGGTCTATTTTATTAGTTTCACAAGATTTGAATGATGTTTTCTTTGTTCGTATGTGAAAATGAGCATTATGTGTTCAAATTTTACTCGTTTAATTTTCTATGCTGGAATCAAATTGATTTTTCTTTTTTCTTTTCATTTGTATGTAATGTATAAGAAGTTTCTTAGGTTCAAATTGTTTCATCCCATGTTTGATACAAAATTGTTTCTCGCAAATTACCATCTATATTAAGCAGTGAACTTTGAACAGTAAATTATTCTATGTATTTTTTATATATGTATATCATTCGTACGTGTTGTTTGTGCTTTTACTTTTTTATTCCATAAAATCTATAAAAATAATTTCTAACGATTATTCCAGTTTACATCTCACAGATTGTTCGTTCTATAATAGAACGTTTACCCTGTCTGACAACATCTTCAAATAGTTTCAAATAAATAATTTCGTTCAATTTTGCTTTACACAGCTTTCTTCTATGGTAGTTGATGAATCGTTCTCTGTCTGCTCCGCTTGAACTAATTGATAAATTATGATCTTTTGTGGCTGCTACTTTTTTTTTTTTCACGGTAGGATGGTATATCAAATTTTAATTCATTAGTCTGAGTTAATAAGTACAGAAAATATTGTTTGTGACTTATTCTGAATCATCACAATTTATTGCAATATAACAGAGAGGAATAGTATGAAACTCAAGTTTAGCTTAGATTGCACATCATAAATTAGGATTTCAATTCTAATTAAGGAACAAAGTGCTTCAACAAATAATGCATTATTACGCTTAAAAAAGCAGCATTTCGTTTTGTTTTCTGAATTTTTTTTTTTTTTTAGATTTTAGACAACAATGAAGGATGAAATTAATACAACAGATGTGTTACATGGAAAGGTAGAAGAAATGAATATTGAAGTGGAAAGGATGAGGAAAGTACTTCAAGCAAAAGAAGCTGTTTTAGAGGATGTGCTTTGCAATATAAATCAACTTCCAAAGCATCCAATGAATACAGTTTTGATTCAGGTAAGTGCTTTTTAAACATGAATAGGATGTTTGCAATTGATAAGTTTAACTACAAATAACTTTTGAAATTATTATTATTACTATTTTTGAGGTGTAAATAAATGTATAAATCTAACAAAAATATCTTTTTATTAGGAATATATTGAAATCCGAATATCATCTCAATTTTACCGAAATAGTAGTAAAAATGCTTTTTGCTAGACATTTGTTCTTCCGCATTCATTTTAGAATATTTTAAAGTCAAAAGTGAAGCAGTTCGAAAATTCTAATTTAATTGATATCAAATGTTACATTATTTGGAGCGCGTTATTCCTAGAGAATATTTGCATCGCTATTGAAGTGGAAAATGATACAAACCATACTATGTCAGTTTTTCTTTTTCAATTTTATTCTAAAAAGTTTTTGAAAAAAAAAATTGTTTGTTTAGATAAACTTATAGAAAAAAGCAGTTGACTTAATTGTTAAGACTGTTATACCCCAAACTTTTTTTTTTTTGCTTCTTCCATGCAATCGGAAAAAAGTTATAATTAAATAGCTAATAGCTATTTTCATATTTTGATCATTACGTAACTTTTTTTGTAAAATGTTTCACTTCTTTAATTTATATTTCATATTAAAATCATTTTCTTCACTTCTATGATTTTTTTTATTTTTTCTTTCTGAAACTTTTTATTATATTTGGTATGGTTGTAATTATACTGTTGATCATTATAATAATTATAATATAATAGTTTGTGGTGTGAAAGAGTTTTAGATTTGAAGCTTTCCCACCGTAAATGATATGACTATCAAGTATGAAGATTTTCTATTTTTTTATTAAACCTTACCAAGTTTTAAATAATTAATAAAATTTCACTTTTTTAAATAACTATTTTAGATTACCTTCATGTGCTGCTGTTTGCAACTATGACTTAGCAGATATAACGACTGTCATTTTTGATGATATGTTAACAACTCAACATATTCCGTAAGTATATTTCATAACTTTATTCTAATAATAAAAAGATGAAATCATTTACTGAAACTTTCAATAAAAACTGCATGATGCTTCATTATTCTAAAAGAGTAATTCAATAATTTAATTTTTCTTTAACCATTAAAAAACTATTTATATTTGCAGCCGAATAATTCATAATTTTCAAGCATGGAATATTTCTTGTATCTTCTTATGTTATGTTAAATCATTTTATAATTTTAATATTTTAATAGATACTATTCAATCTTTTAACACTCCTGAAATTAAATAATAAATCAAAAATTTGAATGATGCAATAATCGTTGTCTATTTTTAGGCCTGAAAGTAAACGAACATTATTGGTTAGTTTTCGAAAAGGACTTTTGCTTGGCAAGCAAATAATACTGGTACTAGATTGTGATTTTGTGACAACATCAGATTCATATTCGGACTTAGCCATATTATCCTTTTTTCCATCAAGCATTCATAGCAAACAAACGCGAGTTGTAAATGTTCTTAAATTTGATGAGCCATTGGAAAATTTTTCATTGTCTGAAATAGACGATCTCTCTTTGAAAGGTTTCTCTTCATTTTAACCTTCGTTAACTTTTATAATTTTAAGTTAAATTTTTTGTTTGTTTTTATTTTTAATTATGAGCTAAACAAATATCCCAACTTTTCACTTTTCATCTTCTCTCTATTGGTATTTTTGTTTGATCTGTTTGCTATTAATTTTTAAAATCTATTTTGTTCTTGATGAAATTTCAAGATTTCAGAAGGGTTGAAATTCTATCAGTGTCTTTATACTTGTCACTTCTCTAAAGTACTCAATATTACTCCGTCCTATTTGCGCATTATTCTTCGTAACATCGGGAAATTTAGAGAAGTAGATTTTGGTAATTGGCAACTTTTCATCGGTGAAACAGATACGATATGGAATAATTTTGTAATTTATACAAATTCATTATTTATGGAAGACGTTTCGTCTCAGTGTCGACTTTTCTCGAAGTGATTTTCTTTCTTTTTCTTAAACTGAATATTGTTTTCTAGCAATTTCAAGACTCGAAATTTGTGCTTGCAAAATTATGTTTGGAAATTCATATAGGAATATTGCCAATAAAATTATTCCAAAATTGGTTTTTTTTTTTTTTTTTTTAAATTTAAAATCTGATAGCAAACATATGTGAAGTATTATGAAAACCGTTAAACTTGGAACACTTTAAGTACAAAATATATATTTTCAATTACTTTATTATAATCCTAACTTGCAGAAATGAATGTGATATGTATCATTTTATCGAAATTTTGGATGAAAGTAATAAAAGTTATGAGATTACATGACATGGTCACCGGCTGACTGGTAAACGTAAAATCGAGCGTAGCGGCTTATATGTATGTTGGAAGTGGACTTATTGGATTTAATTTCTTATTTCACTTTTCACTTCGAATTTTCCTTTTGCGATCTAAATTACAAATGATCTGAAATAGTTGAAAGGTTTGTTCTTTTTTCTCAATCAAATTGTTGCAGTAGAATTATTTGCATTCAGTCCATTTGTTGACACTCCTCAATTTTATTTTAATGATAAATGCTAATTTTGTTATTTCCTCGATTAAACCATATCATCAAACAAAGTATAACAGTATGAGTTGTGACAACGATTAATTTGTTCATTATATCAGGTTAGCTAAGATAGGGTAGTGCAGTTAGTACTTCAACATTTGTTTGAATGGCCTAATTAATATTTTTGTAATATTCACTCGTTTTCCCCTTTTGGCGGTTTGAGTACTTTGTAAATAATGGCAAAATAGTGAATTAGGAATTATTTAGTCGTGAAGTATGCAGTAATCAGCTTTGATGCGTTTCAGTTTTTTCGTAATTGTCAATTGAAAATGAATTTTATCCATTTGTTTTAATTACTAATTTACTTATATATGTTTTAATTACTTATATATGTATAGAATTTGTAATTTTTACGAGATATTGCTTGAAGAATGCACATATCAAAAGACAAAAGCAAATGACCTGAACATTATTTATTACTCAAACATTGCTCAATACTTTGTAATTATGTTGATCCTTTCTTTGCTGAATTTGTATTTTAAAATTTAGTAAAAAAATGACACAATTGCAGAACCGAAGGTACAATGCACCATTTTTTGTTTCTATGTAGGTCATAAAAGTAATTAAGAGTAAGCCAGTTATAACAAGAAACTTATTCGGTGGTAGACCATGAAATGAATAATGTCGAATCATGAATTATTTAGCAGACTGCAAACCAAATTGCAAAATAGTTCGACGAATCAAGTGCTGGGCCTTTCTATCAATTTGCAGAACAATGAATGTTGGACAAATTTTCACCTAGGTATATAGCTAATCAATTTCTCTTCATTCCTTTCTTAAAAAAATTGTTTTTAAAGAGATTTGAAGTTTTAATTTTTCAATATAGGAAAATTGGGAAAAGTTTTTTCATCTAAGCGGAAATTTGTCGTTTAATTGAACAAATATTGTGAGGAGAAATTTTGTTCTTCAAATTTAGGTTTTTGCTGAGCCACAAATATAGCTGAATACTTAAGTCACATATACTGGTAAATGATACTATATTACGGAAGAAAATTTTTTAATGCATTAGGAATTTAATAAACTATTTTTAAGAAGATCTAAAGTCGTCGGAAATTTTACTATATACTGTTTTGAAAGGGTCAATTTACTTTCAAGACGTATAAATATAATAAATTAATAATAAACAACTATGAGAATAGTGATAATATATTAAAAAATCCAGTTTAGGAATGAGATTATAGACTGACCACAAAATTCTGCAACCAAAACAGTCGCAGTATGGCTTCGCAAATGGAATGCATATCTTTCACGGATGATAAAAACTATCAATTTGGCCTAGAGAGTAATAGAGTATTCATTTCTCTACTGACATTTTCAAAGTTTGCTGTTGTATCATTGAAGCATCACTATCACCATTGTCAACACCTTTTAAACAAATCGTTCGTCATTGACAGCTATCACATCTGAGTGAATAATGATGATGAGAACATGCTGTAGTGTAAGTATCTAATGAGTGTAAGTATAAGTTTTATCCTAAGACTAACTCTAAGCTTAAATACAAATGTTATCCTAATTCCTTTCCATGTGATATCGTTAGATGAAAAATTGCATATTTTATTGGAGTAAATGCACATTTGTTCTTTTTGACGACAATTTTGATTTTGATGATAAATGCTAATTTTGTCATTCTCTGAATTAAGTAAAACAATGCCTTCCATACGCAGAAAAGTAATATTGTTTCTGAGATCTTACATCAAACTTTTTTGACTTGCAAAAGTTTTTAGTGTCGGATACCCTGGGAAGTTTTTTCATTAGACGGAATATCTGGTACTTATTTTGCATTTTAAGGTATAGACCAAACTGAAGATGCCGGTTTCCTCGCTTCGTGTTGCTCACTTTTGTTATAAATTATTAGGAGAATATTTTCTTCTACTTATATTTTTTTTATTACCTTTTTGTATGACAAATCGTTTATTGAGAGTTGCACTTAATTGCTTGCCTTCGAATTTTAGGTTTTACTGTCAATTATACTTTTATGCACTTCTGTAATATTCATGGAATATTAAATAAAGATGAAATATTATAAAACACAATGATAAAATAAAATTATAAATTGGCCACCGCATTCTGATGCCTCGAAAACGTCCGATTGTTACGCTCTTTTCTCATGCATGCGAAGAATGCCCAAATTGTGTCTCATTTTCTAGAATGAAAATTTTTAGTTGTTTTATAGTGCTAAAACAATGATTAACAGTATTTGGTTTTTGTGAGGGATTGATATACTTTTCTGCATGTTTTTCGTTTAAGGAAAACAAAATAATTTGACCAAAAGTTTTTTTTTTTTTTTTTATTTCTTTCTCTGTTGATATTTTCGATGTTTGTTGATGTATCTTAAAGCGTTATTGTCACCATTGTCAACATCTTTTTAAGCAGTTGGTTCTCGGGCAGCTGCTATGCATTAAGTGCACGATATGAAAAGAAATAAATATACATTATGAATGTGTTAAATAAACTTTGTATTGTCAACTCAGCGGTTACAAATGTTTCGCAACACATTTCACACGCAATGCTATTTCAGGCTAACATATGCTTTTAAAATTCTGCTAAATTTGTAAACTGACGAGATTTTGTTCGGCAGATCTTCTTGTGAGATCTCAGTGCATTCCTGGTGCTGAAGAATTTGCCACAACCCTCGCACTGAGGATGAGGTTCATGCGTTTGCTTGTGATTGCAAAATGATGGTTCACAGTCGAATGTTCGCCCACAACCGGGCACTCTGCATTCATAGATGAAAGGTTGACCATGTGTCTTCCTATGTGTTATATATTCTTTGCAACTTCTCGCGATCACAGCACACCCGGGATAGAGACATTTGTATCTTTGTTTGTCTAAAAAACTTTTAATATATTTGTTTTTGCAGTTGGTATTTTATTATGGTGTTTGGCAGCTAATTGAGTAATCTAATAAGTCATAAAAATATTACTTCAGTGAAATACATTCCATTTCAAATAATTTAGATCACGAAAAAGAAATTGCTTAATTATTTTTGAGCATATATAAGTATCGATCTTGCATTGCATTGGATGTAAGTTTTGGTAAATAGAGTAGCTAAAATCTTGGGGATTTCTTTTTCTCCTTAGAGTTATTGAACTTTCAACAGCCTTGCAACAAAATGTAATTGTGAATTTTCCGTTGTATCAACTATCTTGGTCCAGCGGTCACAGGTGCTCCATAGTTCATTTCACAGGCACTCCATTTTAGACTCACATATGAATTTTTTTCTGTTAAATTTAAAATTTTGTTAAATTTGCAAACTAACGAGATTTTGGTTGGCAGATCCTCTTATGATAATGCAGTGCATTCCTGGTGGCGAAGAATTTGCCACAGCCCTCGCACTGAGGATTAGGTTCATGCATCTGTTTGTGATTGCGAAATGATGAATCATGGTGGAATGTCTTCCCACAACTGGGCACTTTGCATTCATAAAGAAAGGGCTGACCGTGAGATTTCTTATGTGTTATATATTCTTTGTAATTTTCCGTGATCATATTACACCCGGGGTAATGACAAATATACTTTTTCTTATCTGAAAAATCCATGTCAAAACATTTATTTTTGCAATTAATAGATCTATTACACCATTTTGTAGTTAAGTAATGTGAAAATCACAAAAATGGCAGTGTATATTTAATTTTAAATAACTTAAGTAACAAGTAGTTATTAACTTATCTTCTTACATGTTTTAAGCAATGATAATATTTTTAATGTCGCCTTCTGGACGATGAAATGAATTTTGGTTTTTGATTCGTTATTACTTCTACAATTTCATGCTGTTAATGAAAGTGAAATACTATAAGAGATAGAACGAAAAATCGTTGCGCAAATCATCATTACCTGTTTCTGATCCTTCATTGGTATTTCCCCTGCAGTCATGGATACTCAAGCTATTCAGGAAGTGTTTGTTATCGATGTTGCTCTCTTTAGTATTTCCATGTTGACTGGATGTGTCATCCGAGGAAAGAGTAAGTTGGTGAAAATAGATCGGAACCGCATTTTGTTGTGAACCAGGTAAGTGCATATATGTAATAATGTCATCGGTGTCGACATTAAGTGGCGAAGAAGTTCCACTTTGAGTATCTAAATAACTTAGATTTCAATATCTTAGGTAATAAGCATTTGTCTATATCATCTCATATATTTGAAGTAAAAATTATACTTTTAAGTTACTTCTGGATGGATTTCGATCGATAATTGTAGATTTTTTGTTTTGGTGAGATAGATATGTTTAATTTTATGGATTGGATGAAAGTAAAAAACTATAAAAGTAGAAAGAAAATCGTTAAGCAATTTGTCATTACTTGTTTCTGATCCTTCATTTTCCCTGTAGTCGGGGACAATCAACTTATCCGAGAAGTGCTTATTGCCCATGTTGTTCTGCTCAGCATTTCCGTGTTGATCGGATGTGTCATCTGGGGAAGAGTAAGTTGGTGAAAATAGATCGGAACCGCATTTTGTTGTGAACCAGGTAAGTGCATATATGTAATAATGTCATCGGTGTCGACATTAAGTGGCGAAGAAGTTCCACTTTGAATATCTAAATAACTTAGATCACAAGAAGCTGTTCACTTTTCACACATTTGAAGCAAAAGTCTCACCTCTAATGATAGGATATCGTGCTTCATCATCATTTGTTTTTAATTCTCCATTAGCATCTCTCCACACATTCCTATTTGAATCTGTATATGAGCCAAGTAATGAGTCCAAATTAGTGTGGCCCAACAAACCATGGCTGTTTGAAAAGCCAGGATGAGGAGCATTTGTGATCTCGGGTATCGATTCTTTGCTGCTTATATCTTCAATTTCACTCAACTGATCGAAATCAATCAACTGCGAAGGATCGGATGGAAATTCTGAGCCAAACAATGGCTCAAAATTGTTGTAATCAAAGCTGTCTGAGATACCAGAATAAGTATTATTTGTAACAATTTTATCAGCAGCACCGAAATTAGGTAGATGGAAAGTTTCATTTTTATTAGAAGCGATGCAAAGCAGAAGGTTGAACCAGATGATTGGTGTTATAGATACAGTGAAGAACATGGTGGAACAGAATTTTGTGAAATGACAAAAATATTCAAATGAAAGCTTTTTATTTCAATTAAAGATCAAAGGTTCAAACAGTTTTTAATCTGCCTGTTGTTTATCGTTTTTTTTTTACATTCTCGTTTCTTCTCTCGCCCAACTGGTAGTTTATGAATGCTCTTTTGAATCGGAAAGGAAGTGTTACAATAGCGTGTACGTGAATCTGATACTTAGGAAGGATATTGTTCCATCATTTCAGTAATACGACGTGAGGAATGAGATTCTAATCATTTTCGATTTAATGAGTTCATTTAATAAAGTCGCATCCACACACCTATTGATAGTATCACTTATGGGAACTTCATCATGGACGCATCACCTGAAATTTGCTAATTATTGCTTTTTGACATATTCCACTGCTATTATCAGAAAGAATTTCAACATAAGCGATGTTTGAAAAGATGGGACAATTTTCAAAAGTTTGGTTGACAAAATGGAGTAACATTTGCATAAATGAAATTGATGAATAGCTAGGATTAAATGTAATCGTATGGTGAAATATTTAATCAATTGTGCAGTATTAAATAATCCTGTCTGCTTTGTTTAATAAAATATAGTATATTGAATGATTATTTGCATATTGTAAAAGTTGTAGGTGACGTAAATTAAGACAATTGGAAATATGTTGACTTATTTAATATTTATTCTTAGGTACTGCATGGTACCTTAATGGCATTTCAATTGATCATATTTAATTCCATGTATCTTTCTTTCCATCTGTTCTTTTAAATTAATTTCTTTACCTAATAATTAAGTTAATAATATTCCATACATATGATTTGTTTTGCAGCAGTAATTCCACTAATATTTGAAAATATAAAGTAATGAATTTAACTCCTATTTATTGTGACATTTGTTTTGTTGAAACAGTACAAATAAATTTGTTGAAAGGAATTTCCAAATCTACCGTTTAATTGTGATAATTAAATGCTATTTTTTTTTCTGTTTTGCCACAGACTATGTCACCAAACAGTTAAAAGTATAGGGTATGAGTTGTGACAATGGTTAATTTGTTCATCATATCAAACATAATATCTGCCATTTATTTTGCATGTTAAGGTTTAGGCTAAATTATAGGTGGGAAATTCATTCTTTCTTTACCATTTCTTTGCTTAAAACCACTTCGTGATGCCAATTTTTGTTGTAAATTTTTAGCTTTTTATTTATGATGCTTTTTCATATTGGTTGAATAACAAATCGTTTATTTCAGTTGTGAACGCATTTTGTACATTTAAATGCTTACCCCCGAAATTTATTGCCAATTAGTACATTTATGCATTTCATAGAATAATAAATAGAGAAGAAATATTAAAAAAACCCAATGGTAAAATGAAATCATTGATCAAATCGGTCGCTACAATCTGATGCCTCGAAAACGTCCGATTGTTACGCTCTTTTCTCATGCATGCGAAGAATGCTCAAATTTTGTCCCGTTTTCTAGAATGAAAATTTTTAATTTTATAACGCCAAAAAAAAATAATTGCAGTTTGGCTTTGTGGATAGAATAATATGCTTTTCTGCATAAGTTCCACGAATTAGGAAAATAAAGCAATTTGGTTAAGAGTGAAAGGATATTTTGTTGATGTACATTGAAGCGCCATTGTCACCACTGTCAACACATTTTTAAGCAATTGATTCTTAGGTCGTGGGTAGTAGTACTGAGTGCAAAAAATTATAGCATATGAATTTAATGAATTGTTTTTAATGAATCTGAATTGTCAAATCTACTACATTTATTTTTCACACAATACTTACTTTTTCCAGCTGACATAAGTTTTGTTAACTTTGGAAAACTAACGAGGAGCTCTGGAGCACACTTTCTTGTGAGACTTCAGTACATCCATGCGGTAAAAGAATTTGCCACAGCCCTCGCATTGAGGATGAGGTTCATGCGTTTCCTCGTGACTTCGTAATGATGATTTATAGTCGAATGTCCGCCCACAACCGGGCACTCTGCATTCATAGATGAAAGGTTGATGTGTTTTTCTATGTGTTATATATTCGTTGTAATTTTTCGTGGTCATAGTACATCCGGGGTAAAGGCATTCGTAGCTCCACTCGTCAAAAAAAGTCTTATATTTGTTTTTGTTATTGGCTTTATATTATAGCATTTGGCATCTAATTAAGTAATCTGATAAACCATAAAAATATCACTCCTATGAAATAATCTTACCACATCTCATTTCAAATAATTTGGATTACAGAAAGCTATGTATTTATTTTCGTATATAACAAAAAGTGTAATTGTGAATTCTCCATTGTATTGTCACCCAGCGTTCGCGCAAATGTTTCATAATACATTTCACACACACTTTATTTTAGGTTGACATATCTGTTTAAAATTTTGCTAAATTTGGAAACTAACGGGGTTTTGATTTGCAGCTCTTTTTATGACAATGCAATCCATTCCTGTTGATGAAGAATTTGCCACAACCCTCGCACTGAGAATGAGGTTCATGCGTTTGCTTGTGATTGCGAAATGATGATTCATGGTGGAATGTCCGTCCACAATTGGTCACTCTGCATTCATAGATGAACGGCTGATGCGTTTTTCTATGTGTTATATATTCGTTGTAATTTTTCGTGATCATAGTACATCCGGGATAAAGGCATTCGTAGCTTCGTTCGCCTTAAGAATTATCGTTTGATTTTTTTTTTTTTTTTTTTTTTGTATTGTCACCCAGCGTTCGCGCAAATGTTTCATAATACATTTCACACACATTCTATTTCAGGTTGACATAAGTTTTGTTAACTTTGGGAAACTAACGAGGAGCTCTGGAGCACACTTTCTTATGAGACTTCAGTACATCCATACGGCAAAAGAATTTGCCACAGCACTCGCACTGAGGATGAGGTTTATGTGTCTTCTTGTGATTGCGAAATGATGATTCATGATGGAATGTTCGCCCACAACCGAGCACTTTGCATTCATAGATGAAGGGTTGACCATGTGTCTTCCTATGTGTTATATATTCTTTGTAATTTTTTGTGATCACAGTACAGCCGGGATAATGACAAATATACTTTTTCTTATCTGAAAAATCCATGTCAAAACATTTATTTTTGCAATTAATAAATTTATTACACCATTTTGTAGTTAAGTAATGTGAAAATCACAAAAATGTCAGTGCCATAAAAAAAATATATCGAATTTTAAATAACTTAGGTAACAAGTAGTTATTAACTTATCTTCTTACATGTTTTAAGCAATGATAATATTTTTAATGTCGCCTTCTGGACGATGAAATGAATTTTGGTTTTTGATTCGTTATTACTTCTACAATTTCATGCTGTTAATGAAAGTGAAATACTATAAGAGATAGAACGAAAAATCGTTGCGCAAATCATCATTACCTGTTTCTGATCCTTCATTGGTATTTCCCCTGCAGTCATGGATACTCAAGCTATTCAGGAAGTGTTTGTTATCGATGTTGCTCTCTTTAGTATTTCCATGTTGACTGGATGTGTCATCCGAGGAAAGAGTAAGTTGGTGAAAATAGATCGGAACCGCATTTTGTTGTGAACCAGGTAAGTGCATATATGTAATAATGTCATCGGTGTCGACATTAAGTGGCGAAGAAGTTCCACTTTGAGTATCTAAATAACTTAGATTTCAATATCTTAGGTAATAAGCATTTGTCTATATCATCTCATATATTTGAAGTAAAAATTATACTTTTAAGTTACTTCTGGATGGATTTCGATCGATAATTGTAGATTTTTTGTTTTGGTGAGATAGATATGTTTAATTTTATGGATTGGATGAAAGTAAAAAACTATAAAAGTAGAAAGAAAATCGTTAAGCAATTTGTCATTACTTGTTTCTGATCCTTCATTTTCCCTGTAGTCGGGGACAATCAACTTATCCGAGAAGTGCTTATTGCCCATGTTGTTCTGCTCAGCATTTCCGTGTTGATCGGATGTGTCATCTGGGGAAAGAGTAAGTTGGTGAAAATAGATCGGAACCGCATTTTGTTGTGAACCAGGTAAGTGCATATATGTAATAATGTCATCGGTGTCGACATTAAGTGGCGAAGAAGTTCCACTTTGAATATCTAAATAACTTAGATCACAAGAAGCTGTTCACTTTTCACACATTTGAAGCAAAAGTCTCACCTCTAATGATAGGATATCGTGCTTCATCATCATTTGTTTTTAATTCTCCATTAGCATCTCTCCACACATTCCTATTTGAATCTGTATATGAGCCAAGTAATGAGTCCAAATTAGTGTGGCCCAACAAACCATGGCTGTTTGAAAAGCCAGGATGAGGAGCATTTGTGATCTCGGGTATCGATTCTTTGCTGCTTATATCTTCAATTTCACTCAACTGATCGAAATCAATCAACTGCGAAGGATCGGATGGAAATTCTGAGCCAAACAATGGCTCAAAATTGTTGTAATCAAAGCTGTCTGAGATACCAGAATAAGTATTATTTGTAACAATTTTATCAGCAGCACCGAAATTAGGTAGATGGAAAGTTTCATTTTTATCAGAAGCGATGCAAAGCAGAAGATTGAACCAGATGATTGGTGTTATAGATACAGTGAAGAACATGGTGGAACAGAATTTTGTGAAATGACAAAAATATTCAAATGAAAGCTTTTTATTTCAATTAAAGATCAAAGGTTCAAACAGTTTTTAATCTGCCTGTTGTTTATCGTTTTTTTTTTTTTTTTTCTTTTACATTCTCGTTTTTCTCTCGCCCAACTGGTAGTTTATGAATGCTCTTTTGAATCGGAAAGGAAGTGTTACAATAGCGTGTACGTGAATCTGATACTTAGGAAGGATATTGTTCCATCATTTCAGTAATACGACGTGAGGAATGAGATTCTAATCATTTTCGATTTAATGAGTTCATTTAATAAAGTCGCATCCACACACCTATTGATAGTATCACTTATGGGAACTTCATCGGATGGACGCATCACCTGAAATTTGCTAATTATTGCTTTTTGACATATTCCACTGCTATTATCAGAAAGAATTTCAACATAAGCGATGTTTGAAAAGATGGGACAATTTTCAAAAGTTTGGTTGACAAAATGGAGTAACATTTGCATAAATGAAATTGATGAATAGCTAGGATTAAATGTAATCGTATGGTGAAATATTTAATCAATTGTGCAGTATTAAATAATCCTGTCTGCTTTGTTTAATAAAATATAGTATATTGAATGATTATTTGCATATTGTAAAAGTTGTAAATTTTGGTGACGTAAATTAAATGACAATTGGAAATATGTTGACTTATTTCCAATATTTATTCTTAGGTACTGCATGGTACCTTAATGGCATTTCAATTGATCATATTTAATTCCATGTATCTTTCTTTCCATCTGTTCTTTTAAATTAATTTCTTTACCTAATAATTAAGTTAATAATATTCCATACATATGATTTGTTTTGCAGCAGTAATTCCACTAATATTTGAAAATATAAAGTAATGAATTTAACTCCTATTTATTGTGACATTTGTTTTTTTGTTGAAAAATTACAAATAAATTTGTTGAAAGGAATTTCCAAATCTACCGCCCAATTTAATTGTGATAATTAAATGCTATTTTTTTTTCTGTTTTTGCCACCAGACTATGTCACCAAACAGTTAAAAGTATAAGGGTATGAGTTGTGACAATGGTTAATTTGTTCATCATATCAGGTAAGTTAAGATAGGGTATAACAGTCAGTACTTCAGCATTTGTTAAATGATCAAACTAATATTTTGTAATATTCACTTCTTTTCTCTTTTGGCGATTTGGGTACTTTGTAAATAATAATAAAATAATGAATTGAAAATTATTTGGTCGCAATTAGCTTTGATGCCCTTCAGTTTTTCTTTTAATTTTCAATTGCAAATGAATTTTACCCATTTACTTTAATTACCAATATGTATAGAATTGTAATTTCAGGAGATATGGCTTAAAGAATGCGTATATCAAAAGACAAAAGCAGATTACTTACTTCAGCATTAATACTTCGTAATTACGATTGCACCATTTTTTGTTTCTATATAGAACATAAGAGTAATTAAAGGTAGGCCAGTTGCAGCACGATACTTATTCGGTGGTAGACTAAAAAATATTATTGTGTATTGACATAATGGGTGTCAAAGTCGAATCATAAACGATTTAGTAGACTGCAGACAAATTGCAAAATGATTCGACGTATTAAGTGCTAGGCTTTTTTATCAATTTGTAAAATAATAATAGTAGGCAAATTTTCACTTAGTATATAGCTTATCTTATTTTCTCTTTATTCCCATCGTAGATAAATTGTTTTTAAAATGATTTGAGATCTTAGTTATTTACTTTTTAAAATTTTTCAGTGTTAGAAAATTGGGAGATAGGAAGTTTTTTCATCAAAGCAGAAATTTGTCGCTTGATTGAGGGAATATTTTGAGGAGAAATTTGTTCTTCACATTTAGGTTTTTGCTAAGTCACAAATATTGGTAAATCTTGCTTTATTATGGAAGGAAAAAATTTTGACGCATTATGAATTTAATAAATTGTTTTTAAGGAGATCTGAAGTTGTCGGAAATTCTACTACATTTATTTTTCAAGAGTCAATAGTTACTTTTTTCAAAGCCGTGATAAATTAATAATAAACAACTATGAAAATAAAATCAGATCATAAACTGATCACAAAAATTTTTTAGATGCTGCTTTGTTTAGCTAAGATAAATAAACAGTCAGTCGCAATGTGGCTTAGCAGATGGAATGCATATCTTTCATGAATTAGGAATCTATCAATTTAGCCGAGAGGACAAAGATTCATTTCTCTATTGATATTTCCAAAATTTGTTGATTATCATTGAAGCATTACTGTCATCATTGTCAACACCCTTTAAGCAAATGATTCATTAGTCACCGAAGCTAATACACCTGAGCGAGTGATAATGAAGAGAAAAATGTTGCAGCATCTAATGTGTGTAACTATAGGTATCATCCTAAGCCTAACCCTAGGCTCAAATGCAAATGTCATCCTAATCCTTTACCATATGATATGATTACATGAAAAATTGCATATTTTACTGGAGTAACTGCACATTTGTTGTTCTTTTTGACGACAATTTTGATTTTGATGATAAATGTTGGTTTTGTCGCCTTCTGTATTAGATATGAAACAGTAGCTTTCATATATAGAAAAGTAATATTGTTCTTGATGTTTTTCTACATTCACTTTTCAACGATTAATTTACAAAATTTTTTAGTGTCGAATACCCGGGAAGTTTTTTCATTAAATATAATATCTGCCATTTATTTTGCATGTTAAGGTTTAGGCTAAATTATAGGTGGAAAGTTTTTTCTTATAATTTTCATATATATAGGAAAAAAACCATTTCTTTGCTTAAAACCACTTCGTGATGCCAATTTTTGTTATAAATTTTTAGCTTCTCATTTATGATGCTTTTTCATATTGGTTTTTTTGCATAACAAATCGTTTATTTCAGTTGTGAACGCATTTTGTACATTTAAATGCTTGTCCCCGAATTTTATTGCCAATTAGTACATTTATGCATTTCATGGAATAATAAATAGAGAAGAAATATTAAAAAAATCCAATGGTAAAATGAAATCATTAATCGGTCGCTACAATCTGATGCCTCGAAAACGTCCGATTGTTACGCTCTTTTCTCATGCATGCGTTGTCCCGTTTTCTAGAATGAAAATTTTTAATTTTATAACGCCAAAAAAAAAAATAATTGCAGTTTGGCTTTGTGGATAGAATAATATGCTTTTCTGCATACGTTCCACGAATTAGGAAAATAAAGCAATTTGGTTAAGAGTGAAAGGATATTTTGTTGATGTACATTGAAGCGCCATTGTCACCACTGTCAACACATTTTTAAGCAATTGATTCTTAGGTCGTGGGTAGTAGTACTGAGTGCAAAAAAATATATATAGCATCTTAATGAGTGTGTCTAATGAATTTTGTATGGTCACTCAACGGTCACAAATCTTTCATAACACATTTCACACCTACTCTATTTCAAGCTGACATAAGGTTTGTTAACTTTGGAAAACTAACGAGGAACTCTGGAGCACACTTTCTTGTGAGACTTCAGTACATCCATACGGCAAAAGAATTTGCCACAGCACTCGCATTGAGGATGAGGTTCATGCGCTTGCTTGTGACTGCGAAATGATGATTCATGGTGGAATGTCCGTCCACAATTGGTCACTCTGCATTCATAGATGAAGGGCTGATGCGTTTTTCTATGTGTTATATATTCGTTGTAATTCTTCGTGATCATAGTACATCCGGGATAAAGGCATTCGTAGCTTCGTTCGCCTTAAGAATTATCGTTTGACTTTTTTTTTTTTTTTGTTGTTCTATTGTAGTGTTCGACAGCTAATTAAGTAATCTGATAAATCATAAAAGTATTACCAAAACCTCATTCAAATAATTTAGATCGCAAAAAGCTGTTCAACTATATTCACATATAGTTGCAAAAAAAGTGTAATTATGAATTTTTCGTTTCATTGTGACGCAAATGTTTCATAATATATTCCAATGCATTCTACTTTAGGCTGACATATACTTTTAAAATTCTGCTAAATTTGGATACTAACGGGATTTTGATTTGCAGCTCTTTTTGTGACAATGCAATCCATTCCTGTTGATGAAGAATTTGCCACAACCCTCGCACTGAGGATGAGGTTCATGCGTTTGCTTGTGATTGCGAAATGATGATTCATGGTGGAATGTCCGTCCACAATTGGTCACTCTGCATTCATAGATGAAGGGCTGATGCGTTTTTCTATGTGTTATATATTCGTTGTAATTTTTCGTGATCACAGTACAGCCGGGATAATGACAAATATACTTTTTCTTATCTGAAAAATTCATGTCAAAACATTTATTTTTGCAATTAATAAATTTATTACACCATTTTGTAGTTAAGTAATGTGAAAATCACAAAAATGTCAGTGCCATAAAAAAAATATATCGAATTTTAAATAACTTAGGTAACAAGTAGTTATTAACTTATCTTCTTACATGTTTTAAGCAATGATAATATTTTTAATGTCGCCTTCTGGACGATGAAATGAATTTTGGTTTTTGATTCGTGCTTCTACAATTTCATGCTGTTAATGAAAGTGAAATACTATAAGAGATAGAACGAAAAATCGTTGCGCAAATCATCATTACCTGTTTCTGATCCTTCATTGGTATTTTCCCTGTAGTCGAGGACATTCAAATTATCCAAGAAGTGCCTATTGCCCATGTTGTTCTGTTCAGCATTTCCGTGTTGATCGGATGTGTCATCTGGAAAGAGTAAGTTGGTGAAAATAGATCGGAACCGCACTTTGTTGTGAACCAGGTAGTGCATATATGTGATAATGTCATCGGTGTTGACATTAAGTGGCGAAGAAGTTTCACTTTGAGCATCTAAAATAACAATTTCAATATCTTAAGTACTAAGCACTTGTCTATATCATCTTCTCACATATTTGGTAAAAATTATACTTTTAAGTTACTTCTGGATGGATTTCGATCGATAATTGTAGATTTTTTGTTTAGTGATAGATATGTTTAATTTTATGGATTGGATGAAAGTAAAAAACTATAAAAAATAGAGCGAAAATCGTTATGCAATTTGCCATTACTTGTTTCTGATCCTTCATTTTCCCTGTAGTCGGGGACAATCAACTTATCCGAGAAGTGCTTATTGCCCATGTTGTTCTGCTCAGCATTTCCGTGTTGATCGGATGTGTCATCTGGGGAAAGAGTAAGTTGGTGAAAATAGATCGGAACCGCATTTTGTTGTGAACCAGGTAAGTGCATATATGTAATAATGTCATCGGTGTCGACATTAAGTGGCGAAGAAGTTCCACTTTGAGTATCTAAATAACTTAGATTTCAATATCTTAGGTAATAAGCATTTGTCTATATCATCTCATATATTTGAAGTAAAAATTATACTTTTAAGTTACTTCTGGATGGATTTCGATCGATAATTGTAGATTTTTTGTTTTAGTGAGATAGATATGTTTAATTTTATGGATTGGATGAAAGTAAAAAACTATAAAAGTAGAAAGAAAAATCGTTAAGCAATTTGTCATTACTTGTTTCTGATCCTTCATTTTCCCTGTAGTCGGGGACAATCAACTTATCCGAGAAGTGCTTATTGCCCATGTTGTTCTGCTCAGCATTTCCGTGTTGATCGGATGTGTCATCTGGGGAAAGAGTAAGTTGGTGAAAATAGATCGGAACCGCATTTTGTTGTGAACCAGGTAAGTGCATATATGTAATAATGTCATCGGTGTCGACATTAAGTGGCGAAGAAGTTCCACTTTGAATATCTAAATAACTTAGATCACAAGAAGCTGTTCACTTTTCACACATTTGAAGCAAAAGTCTCACCTCTAATGATAGGATATCGTGCTTCATCATCATTTGTTTTTAATTCTCCATTAGCATCTCTCCACACATTCCTATTTGAATCTGTATATGAGCCAAGTAATGAGTCCAAATTAGTGTGGCCCAACAAACCATGGCTGTTTGAAAAGCCAGGATGAGGAGCATTTGTGATCTCGGGTATCGATTCTTTGCTGCTTATATCTTCAATTTCACTCAACTGATCGAAATCAATCAACTGCGAAGGATCGGATGGAAATTCTGAGCCAAACAATGGCTCAAAATTGTTGTAATCGAGGATATCAAAGCTGTTTGAGGTGCCAGAATGAGTAGTATATGTGATAATTTCATCACTTTTATCGAGGTTAATTATAGGGAAAGTTTTATTTTTTTCAGAGATGATGCAAAGCAAAAGATTGAGCCAAATAATTGGTGTCATAGGTATAGTGAAGAACATGGTGAAACAAGAAATTTCGTGAAATGACAGAAATGCTCACATGAAAGCTCTTTATTTCAGATTGGTTGAAATTAAAGATCAAAGGTTTAAACAGCTTTTAATCTGTCCATTGTTTGTTATATTTTTAAATTCTCGCTTTTCTCTCCCCCAACTGGTAGTTTATGTGTGTTTTTGTGAACCGGAAAGAAGCGTTATAATAGCATGTACGTAAATCTGATGCTTTGGATACTGATAGGTTATTTCAATATGTGGAAAAGCAATTGGCGTTTTTAAGCACTTAATTTGATTCATTTAATAAAATCAATGTTGCATCCTACTCATAGTATCATTCATGGAACTTTATGGGATGGGCGCATCACCTGAAATTTGATAATTATTGCTTTTTGACATAGATCCATTGCTATTGCTGCTATTATCAAAAAAATTTTCAACATATGCTGGGATAATATTTGATGTTTGAAAGGATGGGACAAATTTTAAACTGCATTCATACAATAGGGTAGCATTTGCATAAATGCATAAGTAGAAATTAATGAATAGTTGAAATTAAATGTCAATGGGTGAAACATTTAATCTAATGATGAAATATTTAAACTAAATAATCCTATTTGCGTTGTTTGATGAAATATTGGTACTAAATTATTAGTACTAAGTATTATCGAGATTTTAGATTTTAAATGTTTGTGACGTCAGTTGATTAATAGTTGCAACCTTTCGTCAGTTAATTAGCACAAAATTTAATTTCAACAAATCTAGCATAACCTTTTACGGTGAATATCCAGGTCCCAAATCAAAGCAAAACTGTTTTTGTACAAGTTATTTTCCGTTTCTGTACTACGTCTGGGGAAAAATTCACTTTCTATTCTATTCAATTACTATTTGTCACAAGTTTAATGAGTAAAAGGCTACGAATTGATTTGCTTAATACTACAGTCCCAGGAAAATGTTCTAACTACGTCTGGGGAAAAATTCACTTCCTAATGCCTTATGACGTTAATGGGCTTATTATTACTCGAAGTGTTAATGGAATTATTATTAGACAAAATTCAATTTCGATAAATCTAACATGAACGTTTTACGATGATTCAAGTGTAGATGAGCAACAAATATAGCTGACATCATAATATAGTGATTAATAAATGCTGTTTGACCTTCGAGAAATCAACATACTATACGATGGGGTCAGTCGGCTGTAGGCTTTGTTTCTCATCCCTAATGTGAACTTCTCGCGGGTATCAAGCAGAAGCAATAGTGCTACCTAAATTTATCCTTCCTCCCATTGAGAAACTATTGGACTGATAATTCCAGTGAACAAGGAGGATGGTATGGTCACTGTTAGCTTGTTCACTGCTTTTACGACTATTGCTACTATCAGTAGAGACTACAGATAGTGTATCAGTCATAATCGGTTCCACAGATTGTTACCTGGTTGCAGAAGATGAGAAATTACCTTGTTGCAAAGAGTCATTGGGTATAGCGTCATATGCATTACTGAATATGTTTCACTGCTTTGCGGGTTCAGAATCTCATCGATGAATGTTTTGGCTCATTAAAATAAACGACAAATTATTCCACAATCTGCGTTTCTTTTTCTATCAAATGCTGCTCAACGCTTCAATCTTCTCATCGTTCGAGGTTTAATAGTGGTTGTTGCAAGCTTAACATAGTTGCGGGTTAGGTAAGAATTGTGTTTAACATAGCCAAGTTCATGGATCAATCTGTAAGTAACTGTAGCAAACTGTAGCGCATTGCAAAGGAGGCGGTCCGAGTAGGGTAAGCAACGATGCTCCCACGGGCATCTTCGTCGCGATTAGCAAGACATATATGAGAGTAGCTTCTTCCCATGGAAAGGCTGGCGGGTTAGCAAACAGAAGACCATAAATTACAAGAGTCAGGGTTCTTATTTATTCGGTCTGGAACAATATCACGTTGATAATATCACACTGATATGCTAACATTGTTGCCGTTATCACTTCGAGATGTTTCTTCTCACCTCATTCCTTCACATCTTTTAAATCAGCGCCCGCACATAAAATGGAGAACAATTTGAAGTGCGTCGACAGGAACGCTTGCTTTTTTAATCTCCCTCTCTAATTTTTGTCAGTTACCTGTGTTTTTACGTATATTTATTTAAGACAATGCCATGTTCATTTATATATGTGTTTGTTCATCAGCGAATTTTTCTTGAAATAGCATAAATCATTGGAAGCTCTCAAAGCTAATCTAATTGGAAGAACGAAATGACAATTGCGACTCGATGTGCTACTCTCTCTACCATCATTGCCAGCACTGTTTTTTACAGAGGTTGGATGGTTCTTGTCTTCCGACATTATACATCTCATTGACATCTGACAGACATCTCATTGACATCTGACAGACATCTCATTGATGTCATAAATGAGTAAATGTGCAAAGAAAAGAGAGAGAAGAGGAACCAGAGGAAGAGGAAGTGATCTACCAGCAATTTCAATTATATAAGGGCTTAAGACTTCTCTTTGCCTTCCTACCTAACCTCAACCGATGTGACATGTAGGAACAGTTTTCATCTCATCATTGATTTTAATGCTATTTGAAGAATTCAAATGCGAATGAACAGATGAATGCAACATGTTAGTATGTCGGTATGCAGCATGCAGTACTATTTGTGCAGTTACGTGCCCCAGAAAGAGTTTTCCAAGTATTATTTTGCCTACTGAAGTTCACCAATTAAGAAAGGTTTAAATTTCGCGCAAATTATATCGAATAGTCAGCAAGTAAAGATCAATATGACTTTCTTAAAAGGATATAAACATCGAGAAATTCAATTTAGGTTGTCAACTGAAGATTTTGGCTCACAACAAACATCAAACATCATGTCATATGCTGTATATTTTGAAGGTAAGCTATTTGTCATAGAGGTCAGAAGAGTTTAAAATTTTGTGAAATCATCTAAAAGCAGAAGTGGAAACGTTCCGTCAGCGATATGTCTGTTATCCTTTCCATCTTGCAATTATTTCTTTGTCTTTCTCCTTTTAGCTTGGCTCTTGGCACACCCACTTTCGCCCCTTCTTCCCTCTCTCTCCGTCGTTCCGTTCTCTCTATGAAGTAATTGCTCTCGTTGTCTCTCTCAGTTATTTTTGCATTCATTCGATATCGTTTGTTTTAGTTGTTGATGGCTAATGTACAGCGAATGACAATATTCCTGTCCACACTTCCTCGTGCTGTCTGTTTCCTCTTGGATGAGAACTCAGATTACTTTATGCAACAAATTGCAAGCACATTGTTTGATTAATCATACAAATGAATTTAATTTCTGGCAGATGCCCAATGCAAGTAGAGGTGCTTGGCCAGATAGAACAAAATTGCAGTGTCATATGTCCTCAAGATATGATGGGTAAGGGAAAGGTATCCAGATCGGGTTTGTTCTATGTAATTTCAGATTTTCTGTGTCTCAAAATATGATGGGTAAAGGAATGAAAGTGAAATGTTGACACTGCAAATGACTCGATGGAAACAATGGTAGGACTCAAGTATAGACCTGGATTAGTTGGGTTGGGTCTACTCGTGATGATAGCTCTTTTTCCGTAAAAGGAAAAATCTGCAAATCAAAAAATTCTCAGAATTAATGCTTCATCAAGGAGTGATAATCATGTTCTGAACCAAGAAACCTTGAAATCAAAATTCTTTAGGGTTGAGCATTTGACAGAAGTACTTTCAAGATACATGTTGGGAAGGTTTTATTTGTTCAACGATGAAGACGCAAATTAGAGTCATATGAGACAGCTTCAGGTTGTCGTTCGATCGAGAACGGTCGTAGAGGAGTATTGAACCGAAGTAACAGGTTATATGGCAGACGTTGGCTTGCAGCAGGACATTTCACAAATGAGTGATGAACAAACAGAATGAATTTTTTGGAACATTGCAGCAATACATGTAAGATTAGTTGCGGTTTGGAAGATAAAGTTATATAATTACAGTTACTAAGTTCTTTTCTTTTTTGTTTTATTTTGTTGTTGGTTACGATTTGATTTGCTTTTATTTATTTGTACGGATACTTTGAATAAATATTTTAAGTATATATTTTGAATATCTATAGCACCAAAGTCTTCAGTTGGTGCATAATTTTAGCGCAAATTTTGAATTTATTGTAGCGCTAATTTAATATATTTTTGTCCCTAGCATGCATCAAAATCTAATTCTCAGTGATTGAAATACATGAAAACCAATACGTACTGATTTTGTTCAGTTTGGAATTTCAAATGTTTAGGAATAAAATGAATACAACCTAATGAAATAAAGTAGCAATTAATTTAGATATTGATATAGTGATTAACATTAACTTACAAGTAATTTGGCTGATATTAGTTAGGCAAACTCTTATCAATGATAATAGATGATCGTTGCAAATTTGTTGATAAAAGTAATTTGTCCGGTAAAGAGTTTTTTGTTCGGTTCTTTTATTTACACTGATGTTACTACAACAATTCCCAAGCCAGGAGCTGGTGGCGAGTATGACGTACAGGTATTCCACTTATGAAATTCATTTTATTTCGATGAAATATTTATGCACTTATTTCGATCAGTTTATCACTTCATCACAATCAGTTTTATTCTTTTTTCTAGGATGGTTTTGGATGGACAAATGGTGTTGTCCTAGACCTTTTGACTACTTATTATGATCGAATGACTATTGGAGACATTGGACAAAATGTCACGCATGGGCCATCCGTTAGACCCTGTCGTAGTAAAACGTATCGCATCCGTTACAGACTAGTTCCATTGCTTTGCACCACCGTTTTTTATTTCCTCAGACCTTAGCTGTTATGCACAGAAAATGTATTTAATTTTTCTAAATTGGTTTCATCATGGCATTTGCCAATCGATCGATATGCATTAATAAAGTATTTTTGTGGATTTGAGAGATTGTCATCCGTGCAACAAACATTTCCTCTAGAGTTGGTCTCCGTATTCCCTTCTAAAACATTGTGGAAAAAGGGAAAGAGGGAAAATTTTTGATGCGGAAGGACATACAATTCACCTCCATTCTTAACTTCTTCTACTGTTTGCTTCTTTCATCTATTGATTTAACTAAGATCAAAAGAGTTATTTACTGGGAAAAATGATTCTGTTTCCTTTCGATACTATTGAGTTAATTCAAATTTTAATATGAATTAAACTAACATCCATCAGAGCTGTTCTAATGCAATAATCAAACCCATTAATACTTCTCTTTCAAAGAGAACATTTTGCAATTCTCTTAAAGATGAACTACAACAACAAGGATCTTTCTTAGTTGTCGAAATATGATTACTTCTGCGTGATAATTTGCAATTGAATCAGGAGAAATCTGTTAGATTTGAGGTAACAAACATTTCTAATAAGTATTAGATATCATCAGTGACTGTATCGTAGTGAACATGATGTTTGAATAATGAAAAACAAATTGCAATTTGTAAAATATTACAAAATAATAAGTGGTATGATGCTCTGAAAGGTTTCCTATAAATAGTATTTCTATAGATATCTAAATCTTTTATAAAGTCTAAATCTTTTATAGATTCCGTTGCATACTGGACGTAGTTTCAGTATGAGGTGGTATGGAACAAGAGGATTATATGACAATTCCAATCCCGATCTTTTGATCCCCAAAAATTCAAAGGATGGAGAGAATGAAAGTTCCCCTGCACCACCTCCAACATTCGCTATTTTTTTTATTCCGATATACCGAATATATGTATTGCAAACGAGTGATTAAGTGGCAGCAACTTCATTTGTAAAAAGATCAATGTAATACAATCAATAAATACAAGTATAAGGTAATAAAGTAGTGAAAAACAATTATATTTTCTTTCGAGATCCTTTACCGACATGTCGAATATGTATTGCAAATGATGAGTTATTAAGCGGCAGTAAATATAAGTATAAATAAAGTCAATAAATACAAGTATAAATAAAGTAGTGCAACAGTGGAAAAATATAGTACAGTTCCCGATTGTACACGTGAAAAAAAAAATAAACAACAAACAATAAATGGTAGTGAATTATGTGCAAATTTTGCGCACATATCTAGAAACAATAAAAAATACAATCAAGATCATATATAAACATCGATAAATTCAAGTAATGCTGCCACTTTTATAGATGAAAAAACAAAAAAAAGAAACAAAGAAAGAAAGAAAGGAATTGAGAGATTATTGAAAAATTTGTTTGATAAGTCGAGTATTCATCCCTACTGCATAAAATTTGATTTGTTGACTGACTGTAGCATTAAAAATTAAGATTCAATAGAAAAAGTTAATCACAAATATCAGCGACTTATGTTTGATGAGGCGGATATTCATCATTGTTGTGTAAAACATAACTTCTTGACTGATTGTACCATTCATTCCAAACAGACCAGATTGACATCTAAGAACAACAATGTTCAAAGGAAAGAACAAAGTTCATAGAAAACGGAAGTGAAGTTTACGTAAGGTCATCATAACGAACAAGAGAAAATCCTCACCTGTTCATGAGTTCGTAGGAATGAAGAATATGCAGTTGCTTGTGTAACAGAT